GTGAGGCCAGAAGAATCGATCCCTGATGAGCTGGAGGACTCGTCCTGAACCCAAATGACCCATGTTGTTGTGAAGTTCTTGGTAAACGCGCAGCCTTAACTTAGCTGGAATGACCATCTGGGAGCGGCCGTTGATCCGGCGGTAGAGTACTCCCTTGTCTAGCTTCAGATGTTTCCACTCACGAAGTAGGGCAACGGTGTCTGGTAGGTCTTTAGCCATCATCGTTTTCGTGGGTCGATGCCCCTTCTGAAGGTAGTTTATTGCCTTAGCTACACATGGATCTTCACTCTGTGCCCGCTGGACATCACCTTTGGTTAACAGGACGCTGTTGGAAGATGGAGGGGGCACGCTTTGGAGTTCCATCTGGGCAGATACTGCAGTAGCCCAGACTGTGTCGCCATTTCCCTGGGCCTCTATGGCTTCAATCGTGGCATCAATGTCGTCCCTGGAGACTTCCCTGGTACAGTCCTTCATGTAGTGATCCATGTCAAGTGGAAGCCTCGACAGAGTGTCGGCATCGGCGTTGTTCTTTCCTGGGCGGTACTTAATGGTGAAATGAAAGTCCGCAAGTTCGGCAACCCATCGTTGACCTGTTGCATTCAGACGAGCCGATGACAGAACGTACGTCAGAGGATTGTTGTCTGTGTAAACCGTGAAAGGTGGGGAGTAATACAAGTAGTCGTGAAACTTCTCACAGATAGCCCATTTGAGTGCAAGGAACTCAAGCTTGCCTGAGTGATAATGATAATTCTGTTCGGCAGGTGTTAGTGTGCGGGATCCATAGGCGATAACTCGAAGCTTTCCCTGTTGTCTCTGGTACAGCACTGCCCCCAGTCCATCTTGAGAAGCGTCTGTATGGAGAATAAAGGGCTCGCTGTAATCAGGGAATGCCATTACTGGAGGGGTGACAAGGAATCCCAAGAGTTTCTCTAGTATTTGTTGATGTTGGGTTGTCCATTCTATTCTGGTCTTGGAGAGTGGATGTCCAGTTTGGTTCTTCATCCTTGCTGTTTTCTGACCACCTTTTGGCTGCGACTGTTGGTCAGGCTTGAGCAGGGCATATAGTGGCTTGGCGATGGTAGAGAAGCCTTGTATGTAGCCTCGATAGTATCCCAAGAGTCCCAGTAGCTTCCTCACATCTCCAACTGTTGTTGGCTTCCTTTCACTCAAGGACTTCACCGCGGCAACATCTGCGGGGTCCAAGCGATGACCTTCACTGGATACCAGTCGGCCCAGATAGCGGACTTCTTGCTGAAACAGGCTGCATTTCTTCGGCCTGAGCTTGACCCCATTTTCTTTAAGGCGTCTCAAGACCGTCCGCAGGTTCTCCAAGTGGCTCTGGAAGTTCTCACCTAGGACCAGCACATCATCCAGGTAGGTCATAGCAATGTCCCAATTGATCCCATCCAGGCACTTCTCCATATAACGTTGGAACACTGCAGGGGCATTGGTAAGCCCGAATGGGATTCTAACCCATTCGTACAAACCCCATGGCGTGATGAAGGCAGTTAGGTGGCGGCTTTCTGCAGACACAAATCCCTGATGGTAAGCCTTTCCTTGATCTAGGGTGGAGAACCACTTATTTCCACCTAGCCCATTGAGCACATCTTGGATCCTTGGGATTGGCTGGCGATCCGGGACCGTTTTCCGGTTGAGGCTGCGATAATCGACACAAAGCCGAAGGGAGCCATCTTTTTTTCTCACGCAGACTACTGGTGATGAGTATGATGACGTGGACTTGGATATCCACCCACGGGTGATAAGATCTGACAGGTATGTACGAACCTCTTGATACATCGGTCTTGGGATGGAGTTGTATGTCTTGCAGACTGGCTCCTCATTGTGAAGTTTAATTTTCATCTGCAAGTCTCTGATACACCCAAGGTCTGTGTCGTCCCTGGCGAAAGCAGCAGACTCTTCTCTTAAGATCTTTTCAACTGCAGCCATCTGAGAGGGTGGGAGATGGCTCAGATCCACCGGAGGTATCCAATCATCTGCAGCTAGGGTGTTATCAGAAACTGAGTTGATCTGTTGCTGAGGTCCTGGCTTTTCTCTCCACTCCGAGAAGGTGGACGGATCTACTGAGTATACTGACTGGATTAAGTCAATACTGCCGAGTTGACTCCGGCGTGGAAGAGTGATGTCACGGTTGGTGCAATTTCTAACCCGAATCCCTACAGAGCAGGATGAACCTGCTGCTACATCCACCACAGATTCTTCAACTACAAGACCTTCTGGCCATCGCTGTTCCATATCTGGTTCAAACAGTGCCGTCGCCTTGCCTTGAAGACCAGCATGGACTACACATCTAACCCCTACCAGACTCTGCTTGGGTATGACTGTGTTCCGTTTGCCAGTCCTCACGGTACACAGTGTTTCTTGTTCTGGCATCTGTATGACTTGCACAAGCACTTTGGCTCGGTCCCGTCTCAAGGTGGTCATGGCCCCCAGCAGGAGATCATTGGCACCGCTTCCATAGGACTTAACTGCCTCTTCGATCACATTGAAACCGATGATAGGGTTCTGGAGGAGGTCTTCAGTTACAAGAGCAGGAAACTGGATGGAGGTATTGTTGGACTTCTCTGGTAGTAGGACAAGGTTAACATCAATCCATCCCAAGAAAGGGATGGGGGTTCCATTGGCAGCCCTCAAGTCTAACCCCTCAGGACAGTCAAGAAGCTCCGAGATGGGTCGGACCGGAGTGTCCTTTAGGTTGCTTTTTACCCAGGAGAGACTGAGTATCGATACTTGGGCACCTGTATCCCAAAGAACTGTTGTTGGAACATCATTGATGGTACACTGGACAACACACTTCTTTCCAACCAGATTCCTGACTCGTGCCCTCCTGGTAGTCACTTGGCACGCCAGTTGATTAACTCTTGTAGGGTTTTGTGGTTGTTGGGACATTCCCGCTGCTGGGGCTACTCCCTGTCCCCTGGGAGCAACCCTCTGTC